GAGAGAGAACACACACACATATATATATATATATATATATATATATATATATATATATATATTATATTTCATTTTTGGTACGTTGCTGAATGCTCTGAGAGCAGGGAACAGAAGACGAGGTGGTGGATTTTTCGCATGGAAAGCAATTATGGGAACTATGCAAAGAGAAATACGAACCCTTATGGCTAAAGGGAGGAAGCCATTGCAACCTTGAGCTATTCCCTGAGTACTTACCTCATCTAAGAAGGTTTATGTCGGCCGTGGAAAAGCTCCCATTACGGGATTCATCGTCGGACGATACAAAATCAGATGAGAGATCTACGGATCATAAACACGAGAGCAAGAGTAGGGTCGGCGGAACGAGAGAAAAGTCGAGGTATAGCACGGACTGCGTCACTAGTGCTCGAGAGAAACCGAGAAAGAGTTTTTATCGGTTTGGGAAGGCGAGGCACAGCGTTGATAGCGTAGAACGGGCAAGGAACAGCTTCGACAGGTTGGTTATAGCAATCGATCGATCCATTCATAACATTTTCCCATGACCATGCCATGAAATGGATTTAGAGGCACATTTGGAGGATTACATATAATATATTGTTTATAACAATGAATATAAATATATGATAATGTTTTCTATGAATGATTGGTTACAGGTTAGGGGATATGGTGAGATCAGTTGGGTTGTGTAATGTTGAATGTCTGAAGCAGGCAGCTACAGATGTTTGATTGCTGGTAATTCTTTTGTCAGACTTTGGAAGAGTGTTTTATATATGAATACAACATTTCCATGTAAATTTGTTTTTAACATTTTGCTTCTATTTAATTGGTTTTATTAGCTACGCATCATGTATATATATGTATAAATATTTCATCAAGTCGTATTATATGAGGGATAACCATATCCTACTCATAATTTCATATATAGTCATTTGAAAAAATAATCATATTGCTTGGTACTAATTAACAAGTTATATGTTGAATAAAATTAAAATATATGGAACACATATGCGAGAAATAAATCGAGAGAATACATACATACATTTGTGTGTATGTATATATGTTTTCAAATAAAGTTTTGTACATGTTGAACTTGTATGAATCAAAGGATTAAGTTCAAGAACGAGATTAAATTCCATCGAGAGTGCACTTTAGTATGCATTAATAATTTCATACAATGGGAGATTGTGTTAATTTTGATATGATATAAATTCAAAATTCTTATGGAAAAACATATACCAGAAAAAAAAAAATGGAATCAAACGGATAATTGGAAGCAGGTGAAATGGCAAGCCGTGGACCTCACAATCCCATAACCAAAGCCCGAGAACTAATTTCCTCACTTGTTCTAGAATCATCCACTCTCCCTATTCCTCGGCTTAAACCCCCATAGGGTTTTGGTGACTTATCGTTGAACAACTTTCTAGGGATAGACCCTCCCTCTCTCGCTCTCGCTCTCGCTCTCGCTCGCTCGCCCGCTCGCGATTCTAATGGCTCCTGCTCTGAGTAGAAGCCTATACACAGGTCCTTTGACGTCTCTTCCCCTTACCTCGGCTTCTTCTCTCAGAAACCGGATCCGGGTCTCTAATCTCAGAAGTGCGTTTGTGCCGCGTAGCGTTCTCAGAACCGGCGTTTCGTGTAACGGGTCGAGGTTGAACCCCGGGAAGAGGTGCACCCGCCTCGCCGTCCGGTGCGATGCGGCGGTGGCCGAGAAAGAGACGGCTGGAGCCTCCGGCGAGAAGTTCGAGTACCAAGCCGAGGTGGGTCTGTTTTCATTTCTCCGCAAAATTGCGTCTTCCTCTCGGTGAAATGATCTTAAAAATTCCGTGTTTTGGGCATGTTGAATATGTTTTCTTGACCAAAAGATCTTTCTTTCTGGTTCTTGGGTTTTGGGTGGGTGTTGTATTTGAGTGTTTTGAAGCTATGGGGATAAAGTTTGAGACTTGAAATACTCGTAGTTTTGGTGGCTTTTGCTGGTCTTTTAATGTGGAAATGTTCAAATTATTACAGGTTAGTCGCTTGTTGGATTTGATTGTCCATAGCTTGTACAGCCACAAGGAGGTGTTTCTCAGGGAGCTTGTAAGGCGAGTTACTATGCCGTTCTCTCTTATATTTGTCGCTTTCTAGTGGAATCATTAGGAGTTTCACTTCACTATCTTTAAACAATTTTGCTTCTTGCAATTATCTGCTATTATTTTTCCAGTGCTCTCTAATCTGACATGCTTATATATGCGTATCCAGCAATGCAAGTGATGCTTTGGATAAGCTGAGGTTCTTGAGTGTTACAGAGCCTTCTTTGCTGGGAGATGGAGGAGAGCTCGAGATTCGTATCAAGCCTGATCCCGAGAATGGGACAATTACCATAACGTATGAAGGGTGTTCTCTTTTCTTGATTCACTAGTTTCCTGGAATGATGAATGATCAGTTTAGAGGGTTTACATAGAGGTTGATGTGAATATGGCAATATGCATGCAGCGATACTGGTATTGGAATGACAAAGGAAGAACTTATAGAATGCCTCGGGACTATTGCTCAGAGTGGTACTTCCAAATTCTTGAAGGCTCTTAAGGTAATTCATCTCTTGTTGTATCATGCAATATAATCTTGGGATCGTTTGGTCAATATCCTAACATCTGCCGTTTTTTTTCCAGGAAAATAAGGACCTTGGTGCTGACAATGGTTTGATTGGCCAGTTTGGTGTTGGGTTTTATTCTGCTTTCTTGGTTGCTGAAAAGGTGAAGACTTTTCCATCTTCTTCTGTGATTTCCCCTTCTGGCTGGTGTTTTTCTCTTGAGGAATTTTGTGTGGTTATTGCTTTCAGGTTGTTGTTTCCACCAAAAGCCCGAGATCCGACAAGCAATATGTTTGGGAATCAGTAGCTGACAGTAGCTCGTATTTGATTAGGGAAGAAACAGACCCTGAGAATATTCTACATCGGGGAACACAAATCACACTTTACTTGAGGGTATTGTTTGCTGTCCCGTTTCTGATTTTCTTCTATTCAATCAAGAATTTCTTTATGCGTGAATTTGAATAGGAGTGTGTGATACTCTGGTTTGGTTATCGTATTTGTGATTTGTGTATATTTTGGTGACTCAGTTTGTTCTTGCTACAGGAGGATGATAAATATGAATTCTCGGAACCTACGAGAATCAAGAATCTTGTTAAGAATTATTCTCAGTTTGTCGGGTTTCCCATCTATACATGGCAGGAGAAATCAAGGACCGTGGAGGTGAGGATAGACTTCATGCCTTCTCTGGGTTTATCTGAAATAAGAGCCTTCTTCTGATTTATTTCTTAACAGAATTAGGCGCATATACTACCTCTGTTCTCTTTCTTTCAAAATCAGATCAAAGGGAGAACTGAAATCATTAAGGTTTTTCAACTTTGGTGGTTCTGTTTCTTGTTCTTATGAGCACAATGCCTTACATTGTTTTCATAATACTTTGGTGACTATGCAGCCTTACATTAATTGGCGTTATCAGCTAGTCATCTCCGTCATTGAGATGGCCTTCTTGATATATTCCTTCCTGCTAGGTATACTAAGCTTCACAATATGAAATTGTGTCAGGTCGAAGAGGATGAACCGGCTAAAGAAGGAGATGAAGAGAAGGAGGTAAATTTCATGGTTTTTAGCGTGGGAAGGGTTTCTCTGACTTGTGATTTCTGATTGATTTTGTTGCTTGTTTCAAGGGTGAGACCAAAAAGAAGAAGACTACTAAAACCGAGAAGTATTGGGAGTGGGAACTTGCCAATGAAACAAAACCTATATGGGTAAGAGGAAACATTAATTATCTCGGACTATATCTTGTCTTACTTGCTTACTGAACACTGATGATTGCACTCCTCTCTGTTTTGGTTAGATGCGCAATGCAAAAGAAGTGGAAAAGGAGGAGTATAATGAGTTTTATAAGAAGACTTTCAATGAGTTCCTGGATCCGCTTGCCCACACACACTTCACTACTGAGGTTCTGACACTTTCTATTTTATGTCAGCTTTTTATTTGTTCGAGTTTTTGACTTGGTTTCTGACTCTTTTAACGTGGTTTTTCTTGTATCTTGAAGGGTGAAGTTGAGTTCAGGAGCATCTTGTATGTCCCGGGGATGGGTCCTCTCAACAACGAGGATGTGATAAACCCGAAAACAAAGAACATACGTTTGTATGTGAAGCGTGTATTTATCTCTGATGACTTTGATGGGGAGCTGGTGAGTGAAACAATGTTAATATTGATTTCACTAGTGAATGCTAAATTCCTTCTTTGCGAAAAAGAGTATCGGTTCTCGAAATCAAATCGAGTTTTGAATCTCTAGATTCCCTTTTGCTTCTATATTTTTTTCTGACAAATTTCATAATTTGTTCTGCAGTTCCCGAGATACTTGAGCTTTGTTAAGGGTGTGGTGGACTCAGATGATCTTCCTCTTAACGTTTCCCGTGAAATTCTTCAAGAAAGCAGAATTGTAAGGCTAGCCTTCACAAATTAATGACAATACTGATATAAACACTGATTTCTTTTGCAAGATGCCTCTCTTGTTCAGAAATATCGAGCTTCTATTCTTATTGACATGTCTACTATATTTATTATTACTCTTCTTTTAACATTCAGGTAAGAATCATGAGAAAGAGACTTGTGAGGAAAACTTTCGATATGATACAAGAAATCTCTGGAAGCGAAAACAAAGAGGTCAGTGACTGATTTCCAGTTTTGTTCTTAAAGCTTCGTCCTCTCCACCGTGTTCATGCATCCTTTGGCTAATTCTTTTTTCTCTTTTGATACAATCCTGGACTCGAAAGTTCTCAAATAGGGATAAAAATGATAGTCGTGATACTCTATGGATGTCCTCATCATCTTTTAAACGTTTTGTGATGATGGCAGGATTATAAGAAATTCTGGGAGAATTTTGGGAGGTTCCTTAAATTGGGATGTGTAGAGGACACTGGTAACCACAAACGTATCTCGCCGTTGCTTAGATTCTACAGTTCCAAGAGCGAAGATGAGCTCACAAGCTTGGATGAATATGTGGAAAACATGGTTGAGAACCAAAAGGCCATCTACTACCTTGCAACTGACAGCTTGAAAAGTGCCAAGTCGGCTCCTTTCTTGGAGAAATTAGTCCAAAAAGACATCGAGGTGTGAGCTTCAAACCGGGTGTAAAATTCTTTTTCGTCTTCTTTAGGAGTTCACTTCTGTTTAGGTGTTTGGTATTTTTTGCTCTAAAGCTCTCTCTTGTAAATCATTCGTAGGTTCTTTACTTGGTTGAACCAATCGACGAGGTTGCCATTCAGAATCTACAGACCTACAAAGAAAAGAAATTTGTGGACATCAGCAAGGAAGATTTGGAGCTCGGTTAGTATCGTTAACCAGTTCCATTTTTTGCTTTGTATTAATCTTCCTTGATGGGTTTCGTATGCATATTGTCTAAGCTGCCTATGTGATATGTTTGTGATTCTCCCAGCAGGGGATGAAGACGAGGTGAAGGAAAGGGAGACAAAACAGGAGTTCAATCTTCTTTGTGACTGGATAAAACAACAACTTGGTGAAAAAGTTGCCAAAGTCCAAATCTCGAAGCGCTTAAGCTCTTCTCCATGTGTTCTCGTCTCTGGCAAATTCGGATGGTCGGCTAACATGGAAAGGTTAGTAACGAATACAATGTTGGCTACAGTGTAAAGTTACACTAGCCTTGTGTAGACCAGCATGAATCTCATATACATATATATGTTCTCATCGTCTGTCATCTCATCGGGTAGGCTAATGAAGGCTCAGGCACTGGGAGACACTTCGAGCTTGGAGTTCATGAGGGGTCGGAGAATTCTAGAGATTAACACCGATCATCCCATCATCAAAGACTTGAATGTAAGATACAATTTCTCCCATGCACGTTTCCATAGTTTGGTTTGGTAGTATGTGCTAATGGTGTAGGAGAATTAAGCTTGTGTGTTAATAGTTAGCCATACATATTTGCATTACATATACCAATACTCAAGAAGCTGAAATTCAGGATTTTTGAGGTTATTTTCTGCAGGCTGCGTGCAAGAACGCTCCTGACAGCAGTGAGGCAAAGAGAGCTGTGGACCTGTTGTATGACACTGCACTGATCTCAAGTGGATTCACTGTAAGAAAGAACTTATACTAAACATGAAACGATGAAATGCTCCATATATATATATATATAGATTTCATTTAATCCTCTTATGCCGTGGTCAGCCCGACAGCCCGGCCGAATTGGGTAACAAGATCTACGAGATGATGGCAATGGCAGTGGGAGGAAGATGGGGCCGAGTTGGAGTAGAAGGAGAAGAAGAGGCTGCTTCTTCAAGCTCAGAAGAGAGTGTCTCGAGTGAAGGAGATGTGAAGAATGCTGAAGCAGAAGTGGTGGAGCCATCAGAAGTCAGAGCAGAGAATGATCCATGGCAGGATTGATCCATTTCAATCATAATTCGCAATGCCCAACGAGTTTTTGACATCCAGCGAGGGGATATTAATAAGATCCGGACAAAGGGCTTTACGTGTTGGGAGAATTTTGATGGGGTTCGTAGATTGGTCCGAGCAAATCTGTTCATGTTCTGTAAGACTAATCTATAAACGTTATGCTTGTCAAAGGACGAGAACTGGAAAACTATGGCCGACGACTTTTTTAAAATTAAATTAAATTAAGCCTGTAATATTATCCCATGTCAGTTACTATTTGGGCCTCATTTGGGCTAACCGTTGGGCCCGTCTTCCTCACACGGGAAGTTAGCTTATTGGGCCTCTTGTTTTATTTTTTTTTTATACTTTTGAAAAAACTCTTAAAAATTCCTGAAATTGCTGAGAAAAAAATTCAAGCGCCAAATGATTTTAAAACTTGTAAAAAGTGTCTCAATAAATCCTAATCTTGTTAAAAAGTGTCATATTAGTTCTTCGAAAAAACTGATTATAATAATATAATTTTATATCTTACGATGACAGGTGATGTGACAGGTGATATGACACGTCAAATGTGATTTTTTTACCAAGTAATCAGTATTAGATTTTAGAAAAGTGGTTTTTCAGAAAATATTCTAGAGTCTCTTACGCACTTCATCGAACACTTACTATGCACGAACATTTAGTACTGGAATTTTAAAAAATGGCGATGTTGATACCCGCATCGCCATTTTTTCCGACACCTGAACAGAATGGTTCTTTGCGTTTCGAGTTCTTTCATCTATGCATCTTCTATGTTTCAGATCCCATCTATTGTAAACCCTTACCGAACTACTTCGAATTTGTTCAAGCCCTTCTGTCATTGATGGCGTTTTGTTATGATTTTGTCATCTTCTATGGATGTCCCCGATAAGCTCGAGTTTGAAATTATACAGAACGTTATCTACATTGAGGAAGACGGAGCGGATGTCGATCCTGAAGAGCTTAAAAGCCTGAGCAAATGGAATATTTCATCTTACATAGTGTAAGTCATCGTGTATATTAAGTGTTCGATGAAATGCCTCTAAGAGATTTTAAAATATTTTCTGAAGAAACCGATTTTCTAAAACCCAGTACTGATTACGTAGCAAAAAAAAATCACATTTGGTGTGTCATATCACCTACCACGTAGGATATAAAATCATATTATTATAATCAGTTTTTTCGAATGACTAATATGATACATTTTAACAATATTAAGATTTATTGAGACATTTTTTTGCAAGTTTAAGAATTATTTGATACTCTTGCAAGTTTAGAAAATTTTTTTCTCGCATTTTGCAAGTTAGAAGAATTTTTAGGAGTTTTTTCTTTATTTTAATAGATTTTTTTCCTTTTTCTTTGTTTATTTTTATTTTTATATATTTCTTCATCGTTTTCTAAAGATTTATTTCCTTCATTTCCGCTATAGAAAAACGGTAAGAATTCGTGAGATTCATCCACAGATATACCATCAGCCACTGTATAAATACAGATATGAATAACATAAAACTTCACAGCTTGAAACTCTCTTCTATACGTAAATTATTTTAGTAAACCTCTCTTCTCTTACAATGGCGAAAAGTTCCTTCAAACTGGCGTTCATGGCCTCCCTTTTGGTCGTCGCCTTTTGTAAGTGTCTCACCTGAAAAAAAAAATTACGTGTTTGAAAATTGATTTAGCATATGATTCAAAAGCAAACTCATTTTAAAGGTGTTACAAATTATATATAATAACGTCGACCCTATTATGACATGCTTTATATGTGTCTCGTACAATATGTTCTGTCATAGGCGTATCAGTGTCCGAAGCGAGAGAGATGAGGCAAGAAAAGGACGGCCATTGTATACCGGAACATCCTGGTTGCGGCCGCCGGCATGAAATCAACGACCATTGTATACCGGAACATCCCGGTTGCCGCGGCGGCGGCGGCGGCGGCCCGGCGAAAGTGAATACTTCTGGTTGATCCGTATGTGGGGCCCAGTGGGGTCGTTGTTGTGCCTGCATCGACGCCTAAAAATTCCTTGACTGTGTTTTGGGAAAATGAAATAAACCCGCATCTAATGCGTAAAATCAAAACACAAATTTTTATTGGACAAGAATCCAAAATTTCCCAATTATCCACACAAATTAAATTGCAATTTCTTCATGTGGCGTGACAAAAAAGAGATTTTTCGATTCCAATTTGATATCTATATATTGACGTGGCTTGTCACGTAATAAAAAAATAGAAAGACCGATATCATGTTAGCAGACACATCATCAATTTGGTTCAATTGAATCGGTTTAGAATTTATAATCGGTTATGATTTAACCAAAAAAAAATTGTTTAAAAAAAAAATTGGGATTTAGGGTTTTGAAGTGAACTCTATTGATACCGATTCTCCGGAATCGGAGAATTTCCCGCCGGAGACGAGGTAAAACCTGATCAAAAGCGTCGGATTTTCTCCATGATCGATCTCTGGAATCATACACGAAAACAAAGTTGTAAATCCCAGAGGACACCAAATCTTACGAAACCCTCATGTCAAGTTACATTTGAAAGCAAGAGCACGAAGACAACAAAATTCAACAAGTTCCACAATAATATAGAGGTAACAACAAATTCACCAGAAAATCCTAAACTTGGTAGAGGTAACAACAAATTCACCAATAATTCGATGACGCAACAAAAGGGTTGTCTCGGAAAAGAACACTCACCGACAGAACTCGACTGAGATTTTCTAGAAGACCCAGAATTAGATGGCGTCGTAATGTCGGTAGCCCCCTGCGGAAAGGTAGAAAGGAGAGGAGATGGTCGGGTAAACCAGCCCAGATAACCGGATTCATATCGCCGGCGACGGCGGATCACGGCTGTTGGAAAGTGGATACGGCGGTGGTTGTCGTGACGGGTTTCTTGATCGGAGATCTGAGACGAACATGTCTGCAGAGGTTGTTCAATTCAGCACTCTGTCTTCTTCATCTTCGTGTTCATCGATATATAATACAGTCGTATTGAACCGAAGAAAATTTTGGATTAAATTTTTACGAAGAAAGGAGAAAAAGACGAATAAAGATGTGTGATTTTTCTATATTTCCGGTAAATCTATTTTATGGAATTATAATATCCTAAAAGTTTATTAGAAAAAAATTCAATCAAATTCCGATTATTAGAATTTTTTTTCTTTTATTTATGAATTTTAATTTTGTGGGTTGCGTGTTAAATTTTAAATGTTATTCTACCGCCTATCTATAGGTATACCCTAACCCACTGTGTAGGACTGGGGAACGGTCGATTATAGATTAATGGTTATGGTTATTTGGGGTTATTAAAATTTATAACCAAACGGTTAATTAATTTTATTCGGTTCGGGTTCGGTTCAATTCGATTTATAAAAATTTATAATCAAATGGTTAATAATTTTTAATCGGTTTGGTTCGGTTCGGATCCAGTTATTTTGGGTTAAAAAAAAACATAACCAAATTAATGGTTATTTAATTTTATTCGATTCGGTTCGGATCCAGTTATTTTGGGTTAAAAAAACATAACCAAATTAATGGTTATTTAATTTTATTCGGCTCGGTTCGGTTCGAATATATATCGATCGGTTCATTTAATAATCGAAATACCCGAACCGAATATCCACCCCTACCACTGTGCATGCACTTAAATTTTAAGAATGTTTTCAAAATCGTAGTAAACTTTAAGTTTTATTTCATAATTGTTTTTACCAAAATTGAAGAAATGGATCCAAACAATTGAAATACCATCTGTAATTAAAATAATTAATAAACAAATATACCCACCAAATGAATTATATCATTAAATCAAATACAGATAAAATACGACCAGATTAGTCTAAAAATAAAAAAATAGATTTTTTTTTTGTGAAACGAACGAAACATAAAACTGAATTTGAGTACAAATAATGACAAGTATATATTTTTTTTTGTGTGTCACAACAAATCTATATGGAAAATTTTATATAGAAAGAGAAATAAATCCCTATAATATATAAATTAAATATTTGAGTTAGAAAAATGATAATGCTTATTCTGTCGATACTTTTAATGTATTTGGTTTTCTCCAACTTTTAACTAAACTTTCCTTTTTATCAAAAAATAAACTAAACTTTCCTTTTAGTTAAAATTTTATTTTTGTTCTATGGATTTCTTTTCTTTTTTGGCATATATAATTGATATTTCCTATATTTCCTTATAAGACGGAATATTTCAATTGTTGTTACACAAAAATGGTCAGATTTTCTAAATCCGTTGGATAAACACACGTTAATCAACTCTATAAATACAGTTGAAAAGTTTTATTAGCAGTGATTTTTAAAAAAAATCGGAGAAATGGCCAAAATTTCAATTAAATCCGCGTTCTTAATTTGTTTCTTGGTCGTCGTCTTCTGTAAGTATTATTTTTCATGATTTCATATTCAACAAATATAAACACCAACTAATATGCCACGTGTCATTTTCAATGCCGAATATTACACCATATGTTTTGTCACATAGGCGTATCATTGTCGGAAGCGGGAGATGTGAAGAAGGATGATGAACACTGTATCCCGGAGAAGCCTGGCTGCGGCGGCGGCGGCACCCAGTTCCACAGCAGCAGTGACGACAACGGTCCGAAGTTTATGGTGACGGTGCAAGATATCTTGACTTCTACTTGCGAATCTGACTCTGACTGTGCGGCCTTTTGCAGTACAACCCAATTGCCTGTCTGTTTTAGTGGCCATTGTGGTTGCACCAGCGCCTAGACTTAGCATAATGCCATTATATGTGGTGGCCAAAAAAAAAAAGAGTACGGAATAGGACTCTGATTCATTTTTAAACTAAGATGGTGCATGCATGCATGGTTGAGATCAGCCTATTGAATAAATGAACGTTTGTTTTTTTTATAATTTCTTCTAATTTTATTTACTGTTAATAGAATATTTGTTAGCATTATTTAAGAACAATTTAAACAAGAGCGAATTTTTTTTGTAAACGTAATTTTGCATAAAAACATTAGGTGAGATGAGGCCGCAAAAAAAAAATACAGATGAAGTGAAAAGAAAATATAATAATAAGGGGAAAAAATAATTGTCCAAGTGCCACGCGCTTGTGCTGCGCGTGGCTTTATGGATGCGATTTCTATTTTATTTTTAATTTTTAATTCACTATATTGGATACGAATATATTATTTAAAAACCTCACATAGAGAAAACATTTTGAGTCCTTTTTTTAATATATTAAATCCATACATTATTCGCCAAAGCAATATTGCCTTTATTAATGTGGAAGATTAATAGAGTTGACGAGGAGACGCAGCAGGAACATCAGAGTCGGCGAAGCCAAAGCACTTGCAAAGGCCGTTGTCGCACCGACAGTCGATACATGCCTCGCACGCAATGTTGCTCCAACACTCCGACCTCTTCGAGCATTTGAAGCTGATCGGATTCTCCCTCGTCTCGGCCTCGACGTTCGAAACTGCGTAAAATAAATTAACATTTCCATTTGTGTAAAAGGGAAAAAAAAACCCTCTGCATTTCATGTTATATGTCTTAAACAAATAGTGATAGAGTATATGAACCGGTGGTGGTCGAGATAACGAGGAGGATGGCCAAGAACGAGGCGACGATAACGCGAAGGTTCTTCATTTTTCCCAAACTTTTGGATTTCTTGATCGACTTTGCTTTAGTTAGGTTGTGAATCGTAAGTTGTTTGGTTTGCACTTCAATGGTTTGAATGAAATTTTTGTTTCACAAGAGAGGCTTAAATGGGAAAAATCTCATTTAAATGTTTTGGTAACTTTGTGATTACAACCTCAAACTTGCATATGCTCGGAAAATAAATGTTTATAACCCGAATCTATCTATATATCAAGCTTTTGAATGATTTTGGTCTTTTATATTGTTACCAAAACCCTTTTTTTAAGAGAAAACTCCAAATAAATCCAAGAATTTGATCATTTATTATCGATAAATATATGAATATGTTACATACCAAAATAAATACACGAAATTGCGTATTTCGTCCAATTTATCCCATAATCTCTGATGTCTCTTATATTCCGTTAATTGTTGCTTACATGTAAGAAAAAAGATATGGTTCTGTGAACGTAAGTGAGACGTGGGTTGAGAGATGTCACATAAGCTAATTAACACGGTTTAATTCGAAATTTAAAATTAAAAATCGAATCGAAACAATTGGAACCGGTTTAAGGTTTTAAATTTAAATCCATCCGAGATTAGAGAGAGAAGAACACATCCTGAACAAAAACCAACAACAAAGAGACGGATCACATGATATGCAGAAATTCGATTCACAGAAGAAATTGAGAGTTTCATTTGGGATAAGATTCTATTCTTTCACAGGAACAGCCGAACAAATCCACGAAAATCCTAACCCTAATTCCGACGGTGGTCTCCTCCCCCTACGATCGGAGTTTCTGGCGATCTCCACCACCGTAGCACAACCGTTCAAGACTTTTCTCATCTCCTCCTTCTACCTCTCCATAACCCCAGAAAACCCTAACCCTAATTCCGACGGCGAACCACATATGTTTCCAGAACGTGTTCTTCTCTCTCTCTAATTTCTGATGAGTCTAAGTTTAAAGACTTAAACCGGCTTAAATCGTTTCGGTTCGACGTTTAATTTCAAATTTTGAATTTAACCGTATTAGCTTATGTGGCATCACTAAACCATGTCGTCCTGATGTGGCACTTATTTGCCCCACAACAACATAACGATTGACGGAAAAAATATGTAATTTTATGTATTTATTTGACATATACAAAATTTATATATTTATCCGTAAGAAATTAGCAAATTCATCTATTTATTTGAGATTTTCCCCTTTTTATTTTTTGTAACAATTCGAAGTCTTTGGGATCCATTTGTCGTTGCATCAAGATTAAGAATATATATATATATAGTTTCTAGTTATTGAAGTAATTTTTCTTCTTTTTAATAATGATCACCCAAATAAAATAAAAAATAATTTCATCCAAAGTTGACGAAATATATCTTCTAGAATCTAAAGCAAAGTTATAATTCGATTCACCCTTAAAAAAAACAGATATCCGATTATATATATATGATTTGTTTCCGTAGTTAAGCTTTTCTAGTTAAAATGGCTAATTACTTGCCAATTTTATTCCGAATTACCAATTGAAATATGCAAGCAACATGGCACTATTTCATAATTCGAATCAATCAAATAAATGTCATTAAAATGATTCACCATCGAATTAATAAACCCTTCCATTTCGTGACATAATATATATTATAGGCGTTTGGACCAACAAAAACATAACCCATTGATGAGGCGTCTATATTCTTTTTTTTTCTTGGTGAAAATAAATTGTATTAACATTTATAATGCTTAGAGAAAAAAAAAAGGCAGTTTCCGTTATACCACCAAAGTGGAATACACAGAGGGTATATAATATTTTGCCAAATATCTTTTAGAATATCTCCAATATAGCAATTTCGGGTTTTATACCATTCGCTAAATAAGGCACAAAATCGAAACGCGATCCATGACCCGATTTGCTTTGATTATAATGGCAATTCACATATTTTCTTTAACCGATTCACCATTACAAATAGTAAAATCAATCCGGAAAAAAAAATATTTCTAATATTCATCACTGTATACACGAAGATATGGCTTCAAGAACAACATCCCTTCTCTTCCTCTCCATTGCTCTCGCCAGTGAGTTTCTCGCTCTTTCTCAACGCACACACACACACACACATATATATATGTATATTTCAATCTCTATATATGTACGTATAGTCGGACGAAAATCATGGGTCGAAAATTAATATAATGTAAACTCTTTGTTTGGCAGGCGTGTGGCTTGTGGCAGTGGTGCCGAGGACGAAAGCTCAGCATTTCGTGAAGTGCAAGACGTCGGAAAACTGCCAAGGCATTCAGTGCCAGATAGGGCAGGGGATTACGTGTAAAGACTCGGTCTGTGTTTGTGTTCCGAACACTAAAACAGGTTCATCCGGACATGAGAAAAAGAAGGCGCAATGGCCTTGCGATTGGTCCGAGGATTGTGACAAGCATTTGAAATGCCCTGTCGGTTTACCTCTATGCATGGAAGGAATCTGTGACTGCTTAACCGGCTAGAGGCTTATTCTGCTGTTCCGGTTTCCCCACTTAATAATAATAATAATGATAATGAGATATATCTATATGTTATGAAAACATCCCCATCAACAATGACCGCTTTTGATCGATAATTATATTATACTTAGAGGTTGATGATCAATATATATGTCTTCTTGATGAATGAATAGATTTGATTTTATTACTGTCTTTAAATATTATATTGAATAAATAAGATATTTTATATCTTTTAAATGACACAAATGTGAATATATTTACATATGTATATATTTTAAAGTAAGAAAAACTGTTCTTATAAAATTTGCTGTCTTTTCTTGTTAATTTTTTTTTTCACCCGTTTTGTTTTGTTAGTTGAATAAATGAAAAAAAAAATGCGATAACATAAATTGAATACTGTGCTAAGAAAATACTCAAAACGATTTTTTTTTAATTGTCGATGAACCAATCTTTCCATTAAAATGGGTATTCATGTCATATTATTGAAATATGATATTTTTTAAAATATTTATAAAAAATCTACTATAAGAAAATAAGATGAATGAGCGTTTTGATCGACCAATCTACTATAAGAAAATACTTTGGCTTCTGGGTATGTAATCAATAGATTTACAAAAATGAAATGCAAATAATTCACATTTTTTGAATATAGCAATTATATAATTAAGTCGATGGAGGATGCCATTTATCAGAAGAGGGAAAAAAAATTTGGTCAAAGAGATGAACTGATTTGCCATTTTAGATTTGCTTCAACACGCTATAAATATGTATCTCCTATTGTCGGAAGAAAACAATTAAATCTCTCTGTGATCTCTATACCTCAAACTCTAAACCCTAAATACAAATCATTCAAATTCCAAAACCAAGATATGGCAACCAAGGCAACATCACTCTTCGTTCTCCTGCTTGTTCTCTCTTGTGAGTCTATCTCTCTCTCCCTCTCTCTCGATGGGTTTGAATCCCCCGATGAATGTCATTAGAATCGTTGGTTTAGATCCTCGCAGGATATCAAAGATTAATATATAGTATCTCTCTTTTGTTCGTATTTTTATATAAATTAGATAATCTTATCGACGTATTTACAGGTGTGTCGTTGTCGATCGTGCCCGGGGCCGAAGCGCAGTTGATTGTTCCGTGCAAAACCGCAAAAGACTGCAAAGGGGTTCGGTGTTCGAGCGGAAGTGCCCAGTGTGTGGTGAAGCAATGCCAATGTCCCAGTTCTGACAACATCAGCCCAGTCACCGATGTTTCCGGACAAGACCCGAAGTGATATCGTACTCATTCAGTTAAAACATTTCCCTTTTATACTTCTCCTAACAACGTTACAGATTAATAAAAAACCAATTGCGTATTAGCAATAGAATTATCTTTTTGTTTAAGCAATTATCATAATAATAATAATAATAATAATAACAATAATAAAACTGTTCTTAAAAGTATTGGGAATTAAAATTTTAAATTTCAATTGTGTTTGAATGTTTCATTTAAAACAATGTACATGCAAACAAATAATATATTTAGAGATTCGATCGTGATGTAAGTTTTTCCACAAAATGAAAATGATAAAGAGAAGTGTCAATAATGGAATTTAGAAATTCTAACTATTTTTTGTATAAGTTGTAATTGGAATATTCGATACCAAAACTAAATATAGGCAACAGTAATAGTGGAGGTTCTATACATTTCATCAAGAAAAAGTTCTATACATATAAGCCAAAAAAAAATCCGTAGAAATTAAAGAAAACTTAACTGAATGGAATGTTTTTAATTAAAGATCAGGAAAATCAAACACATTTAAACCTTAACCAATAATTCAGAAAAACATTCTCGACTTTTTAGCTAAAGTATTTAATTACAAAAAGACATCATCTGACATCTATTCAGTCGAAGACTGGCCAAACCTGCTAGGAGAAGTAGAGGTTTCTGAAGACTCTGGGGGAGATGGAGGTCTCCAAAGTCGTGGAACGAAGAAAGCGAAAAAAGAGTGCAAGGGTATATTGGTAATTTCAAAAGGATTATGGGTCTCAGTTACGGGCTTATTTGGGCTTAGGTGGTTGATGATGGGCTTTGAATGAAAAATAATTGGGCTGATGAGTAAGGAAGGAAGGAGGTTCATGGATCTGAGTTTGATATTGGGCCTGGACCAAAGGTTTACATGTTGATGTTTCTCGTTCTTATTAATCATAGAATGTTAATATATTTAAAATATAAAAATAAAATCTAATATAATATTATGAAATATTATTCTTATGTGGGTACCACATCATCCAACGTGACATATAATTAACTATGTAATTGTAGGCGTTAGTAGATGCACCTACAAAGTACGAAAATAAAAAACTCGGTTATTGCACTTTAATGGAGAAACTGTGATAAAAATAATTTATAGCCACAAATTTATCACATTGAGGAAACATTTTCGAACATGGCATAAATATACCTACCACTTTGCAAAAATAAAATATTATTTCAAAGAAAGGGACTTTTGAGTTACAATAGAAGATACGCGAGGACCTATAAAACAAGTGCATGACCTTGATAGGATACTTGAATTTAAACACTATTAAATCTAATAAATCTTGGTATTGGATTGAAATCTCATTTAATATTTGTGCGTGGTCCTACGATAGTCTGTCTTGATGTTATTTATACAATAATATTTGTTGTTAGGCAATGCGAAGCATCAAATTGCCACTAATTTTATGTCATTCACAAATATGCATAAATTTTCTGCTCTAACTCGAAAACGACATTTTATCAGGTTTATTATAGATGAAACTATTAGGATGAGTTGGTTCTCTAAATATTAAAAAAAATCATTAATTAATGGAATATAACATAAAATAATGTGAACAAAATCTATCGGTATCTAAATTTGAAAAGATTAAAGAATTGAAAAGAATGATGTTGTTTTTGGAATAATTTAATCTACACATGCAAAAAAGAATAATTTCATACCAAGATTTTTTCTTGTGGACGAGATAAATCCTTACCGGTGTCTGATATATATATATATATATATATAGCATTTTTAAAGTGGTTTCTTTATGCAGATGGGATTATAGATTATAAAACCAACGACATGCTCTTATATGCGCACACAACGTAGGAACATACTTGTCTTGATATAGAAGCAAGGAGACATCAATCGACCCTTTGTTTCATACCCAAAACAATGAATTTGCATATTCTTGTCTCTTAAAAAGAATACGATTTTTTTCTAGATATGGTTCGAGTTCTTCTGCCCATTTATTTTCCTTTTTTTCCTGATAAGCTAGCAAGTGGAATTTTTTTGTACATAATAAAAGTTAGATTGTGACAAAAAATAAAAGTAAAAATCATTAGATTTTATGTACATGCGCACATCCATATGTGTGTCCGTGTTTGTATTTATAACATATTTTTTTTTAAGAAGTTGAAGAGTATATCACGAGTCGGACTCGTGGCGAACCAGCTCGACGAGTCTCAGTAAAAAAAAATATTTTTAATATTTTATATATTTTTAAATATTTTTATATAAAATTTATAATTTTATTAGATATTTAATTTATTTTGTTTGAAAATTTAATTTTTTATTATATTTTAGATATTTTAAATATTTTTTAAAATAATATATTTGATTCGCGGATCGATTTGTTTGGCTCGCGGATTAAATCAATTTGGGTTAGATTGATCTATTTTTGGCTCGTTAAAAAACGGACTAGACTAGACGAAAATATTCATAGATCGAAACTAGTCCGGTCGGATTGTATCGGATCAACCCATTTTACACCGTTCGTAACGATTTTTGCGTAGTAAATTTTCAGTATTTTAGAAATAAATATTTTTAAAATAATATACATTGAATAGGGGCACTAAAAAAATGAGACGGCCCTATATACGTATTTGGTAAGAAATTAAGAATATGAGATTGCAGATATATAGTTTTCTTTTGGGTTGAAATCCACGTGATATATTCCCGAGCGACATGGTAAATTGTACAAAATATTCCGGTAGATATGCATACCATACCAAGTTCGTTCATCATTTCAGCGGTCAAATCATAATCGAATATCGTTTATTGCATAATTAACGAATAAATTTTCCTTTTACGGGACTTTGTATTAACTTTGATACTTAAATAATATTTAAAAACAATCGAAATCGATATAGAGATTCCAACGCATTGAAGTTGACATTGCTGACGACATGCAGGTAGGTTCAAAGTTGCCAATGATTTTTGATTAAAATTATTAAATAAAAAGTCTTTTTTTTTTTTTATTTGAATTTTTGTGAACTTCATGTCATTTTCCAATTGGATGGCCTTGTGCGTGCGTGGGGCCCATCATGGCATTCTGTGGCTCTCCTTTGTCCAAATTAAAATATCAAATACAATTGAAATAAATATATAATAATTTGGGCTCAGATAATCCGTCTCTTCGGGGCGAATTTGGTCATTTATACTCCATTATTACATTATATATACCCCTCCCCTTTCGCGGTATCAAACTTAGAACAAAACTATATATATATATTGAATTATAAGAGTTTATAAAACAATAATAATTTATAAGATTTATGGAGATTAGCGTAGAGAGTCAAAGTAGTTGAAATTTATTAAGTTAATAAATTATTTTTAAAAAGTAAAAATCTAAATAATTTTTTAACATAATTTTTAGTTGAATTCTTTCAACTCAATCCAATTGGAATAATATTTATTTCATTTTTTAAAATATGGTTTACATATTATCTGTGGATTAAAAATTTTATTATCACATCAAAATAAATAAGTTTGAATCAAAAATTTGTTCCGGGATAATTCAATTAAAATAGACAGATGGGGCTAATCATAAAATAAATAATCCTATTTGATACTTGCAAAGCTTGTAATTAATGGTGTACTAAATTAGATTACTAACAACTAATGGAGATCATAATTAGTACAAGGACCTATTAGATTATATATATAATATTTTTTATAAATATAAGCATGAGAAGAAAACATAAAGTTAAATGTCTTTTGTAAATGATATAATTACGTATACGGACGGATAGAGACGTATCGATTAGGCACGTCTCCTGGTTGCAATATGGAAACAGCATAGTAATACTAGGAACACATGCTGACTGCGACCTTTCGTTATATCATTATCGATTAATTAATTTAATTTAGTAAGTGTGATTAATCTATTAATTATTGAGCGAACGGTACAACTAATCGGAAATATTCTCCGATATCCATCCATTCGTTGGAAGATACGTGCCGGTAATAAACATGACAGAGAATGCTCTTGTTAATTAATTAGAAAATGTATTACGTAATTGAACAAGATAGGTTAAGCCAAAATTAGTGGGTGGGTCACTGCCTTAATTAAGAACACGATGCGATTAAGAATTCAATTAATCAGAAAGCCGCTTGGTTTATATTTTCTTAACCCACTTGAGAAAAGATGCATGGTATTAATTAAATACAGTACTTGGACACTAATAGCAGTTCTTAAAATTATTTAAAAATTTAAAAATACTATGCAGAACAATTTATTCGTATGGCTAGCCACACATTCATAATTCATAATTCATATATAATCCTCGGAGATATGTGATCTAATTCTAAATCGATATATTATCTAATTCTTATAATAGATGTAAATCATTTCCAATAATATCAATTATCACTAGAAGCATGATTAGATACCAAAAAAATGTCTTCTCAAACAGAGCAAGAACAGTCTCGAGATTACCTTTTTTTTTTTCCTTCATGTAATCGGGGGGGAACTATTTTACAAAGGGCATGAAGCATATGCATCATCATCATCATCATCATCATCATCGAAAGGATATTATCCTCTATATATGTGGACTAATGAAATAATGATTAGAAATGAGAAGATTTTTTTTAAAAAAAAGGGTTGGGGGATGAGTGAAGAAGTGGGGAGACAGTGCACATAGATGTGTCTGCTGCATTCATATGAACTCCATAAAACCCTAATAAGATTATTATTACATTACAAAATAGTAAAGCTCAAAAGGTGAATGAAGCATTTTGTCAAATTTTTCGTGCAACTCAATTCTTTGGTCCAACCATTTTCTCCATGACGCGTGCTGGACACAGACTCCCCAAGAGTGATGTCATATCACATAAAAATCATGATTTTTACATTAGAAAACCCTATCTGGGTCTACGAAATGCCATTGTAGACCAATAGGCTTCCATGAAATTTCGCACAATATATGAAGAAATATGTTACTGAGAAAATAAAGCAGAAGAAATTCTTTGAATATGTATATGTGTATATATAACCTTAATCTGTTGGGAATCATACTGCTATTATCCATGCACTATCAGAAACTAATTAATTTTGTCCATGCTATAAGACAAAACTGCACCAACTTAAATCCTCTAATTCAATGCTGCTTAATTAATGATATATAATCGGTAACATATAATTCATATCCATAATACAAAACACACAAACATATATATACACACACACATACACATGTATATATATCGGATTATGATACAAGTACGCATGTGTAAGGTGATGTAAAAAATGTCTGGGGGAAATGGTGGACCGGCCACAAGAGATCACTAGCAAATGTTTGGACCCACCGGTTAACAAATAGCAACGAACCACAATATATATATATATATATATATATATGTCTCATTGTAATATCAAATCATGTCTTTTTCCCATCATATATGCCTAGAGTCGAAACATTGAATTAACACAGGCTGCAGCATCCGTACCCACTCTCAATTATAGGGTTTAGCCACTTATTTCCTCCGATGATAGGCTTCGTAGATGCGCATGCCTTCTCTACAAAAAAAAACCCAAATATTATTTGATAATTTCGATTTACAAACAAAGAATATTATAATGTATTTGCAAAAAGATTCATGTGTTGTAATTGTTATTATAGACAATCCCATATTGATGGGGAAATACAAAATACAAAGTGTTTTTTTTTATAACGTACAAAATACAAAGTTCGTTCGAAATACATATTGATATTGATATATGTGAACCCAGGCTCTTCATATTCTCACATACATATATATGTTTTCCTTCTTTTTTTCCCTTGTGGATATAATGGTGGGACCGTATCCTATATCAATGATTATTCAAATCAAATATGTATTCATGATGAATTACACATTGAAATAAAAGGGAGAGTGTCCATGGGTTGCGCACAGATAGTTTCTCACAATAATATATATGCACGTTGACGTCAACATATGGCTCACGTTGTAATCCCCATGTAATTCCATTAATTATCGATTTTTGCACCATTACATGTTATAGCAATAAAAAAAAATCCAATAATAACTTCGATCCTCCCTCACGGTTAAAAAGAATACACATGTTATGTGTGTCTGTTATGTAGAAGATTTACTGAAAATATATAAACATATAGTGTTAGGTTAAAAAAACTACTATGATAATTAACGCATAAATTATAACTTTGCGTTATAATAATGGTTGTTAGGCCTCGATCATATGATTTCAGCCGTGAAATTATTTATTAAAAAGGATGGGAATAGAAAGAAATATTAAATTAGTTTAGTTAATAATTATGGATGGAGGGATCTTTTGTCTTGTGCTTGTTGCTCGAACTTATCCATTCCTTTCATTTAAAATAACTCTAAGAGGCCTAGATAAAATTCGGTAGTGGATGATCGCCTAATTAATTCTAATTAACGTGACTATTTATTATTTGTTGCAAACAAACAAAAAAAATACGAAATAAACAATGGGAAAGCACATTCGTATAAAAAAAACTAATTAATTATTTCCATCTTTCGTTTGGAAAGTAAGAGAAAAAATAGAAAACATATGAAGTTTTGTATTATTATAATTTTTTATCTTAAAAAATTTATTAGTAATAGTATAATATATATTTATTTAGTTAATGAAAATAATAACAAAATAGTTAATTTTAGGATTTAATATAATACTCCCTCCGTTTCAAAATAGTTGTTGTTTTAGATTATTTCACATTTTTTAAGAAAAGATAGAAAAAATCAAATATTCCCTTATTTAATGATAAAAACAATGTTATCACTAATAGTTTATTAGAATTTAATAGGGATAAAATTGAAAACTATTGTAAAAACATACATTGAAAATGTAGAATGACAAATATTTTGAAACATATAAAATAACCTAAAACTACAAATATTTTGAAACGGAGAGAATAATTAAATATAAAATATTCTTAGGATTTTAAAATCTATTAATTTTACTCTCTATATATTCCATTTACAGTACCTGAATATTTAAAAACCGAAAAATAAATTGATCTAGTATGATTTTTAACTATATCTATAAGTATTGATTATGTTTTTATATCTTCTGGCTTGTCAAAAGGAGACATCGATAATGACTTTAGTTTAACAACTGAAATTAACGGTTCTAATTTGGCCGGTTTTGGTGTGTCTATTTTGATTATTTTAAAAGCAAGGTTTTAGATAAATTCTGTAACTTACTCGAATTTTCAATTAAAATAATTTTTAATGAGTCCAAAAACATATGACCACAGTGTCTTTGCACGTTCAAACTATACAACACTCAACAGTGTTATGATATTATATGAATATGTAACCTTATAATATTATTATCGGATAAGGTATGAAGAAATCGACTTTTATCTACAGTTGTTTACGCATTATCGATTATACAATTGTTTTGTTTTTATTCTTTTTTCATTTTTATTTTTATTTGCACAGTAATTTAGTACTCAAAGCAAAGGTGTGCATTTATAGTTGATGACTGAGACGAGCATATTGTTTAAAAGTTTATGAACTAGAGACTTCACAAATCGGTCCAAAAGTCTAAATGATATCATTATATTTCTAAATTGAAATAAAACATTATCCTAACGTCTATAGTATATAATACGACAAAAGAGGTAGGATACAAAACAGATCATTTTTTTATTAGTGTTATATTAGGGCAAAAAATAGATGTTTTTCTTATATTTGAGTATGTTTTCAGATATTTAATTTAGATTTAGGATAATATATCTAATTTTCTAATAATTTAATTATTTTAATCTCGATTTTCGATAATAATATCACAGTTTATCTAAGCCAGGAAATTTTTTAAAAAAAAATTGTTTATATATGCACGTTTCAGTTATGGACCCACTTCCTCCCCATTCTTCTTTCTTTTACTCTATAAAACCCCTCTTCTCCTCATCCTCCATTTCAACAACTTCTTCACTCGCAAAAAAAAAAAAACCCTAAATTCTTTCAAAGAACCCAAGAATCATCATCACATCTCTCTCCCTCTCTCTCCCTCTCCCTAGTATATATATAACGGTTAAAGACTATGATTCCGGCGGAAATAACCGGATTATTACACTATCTACCACCGGAAAACCCGATAACTATTCCGGCGGCGGCGGAGTTCAGCATGTTCCAAACCAGCATGCCCTCACCATCATCGCCATCTCTGTCTTCGCTGTACTACCTCAACAGTCTCACGATCAACAGCTCATCATCCAACGGTCAAGAACTCATCGTGAGCAACAACTCGACATCGGACGAGGATCACCAACAGAACATCATCGACGAGAGGAAACAGAGAAGGATGATATCGAACAGAGAGTCCGCCCGAAGATCGAGGATGAGGAAGCAGAAGCATCTCGACGAGCTTTGGTCTCAAGTGTTAAGGCTTCGCAACGAGAACCATTGCCTTATCGATAAGCTGAACCGAGCATCAGAGAGCCACGACCTAATCTTGAAAGAGAACGCCAAACTCAAAGAAGAAGCCTCTGATCTCCGACAACTTATCACCGAAATGCGAGCCGACAACAACAACAACGACAACATCTGTATTAGTTTTCTTAGGGAGCTTCAAGATTTTGACCCTTCCATCAAACTGTAGAATCAATAAGAGAGACAGAGACAGAGAGAAAGAGAGAGATCGATTTTGGTTGTCTTCTTTTTCTTCTTCTTCTCCGTTTCAACGTCGCTTGATCTTTATGTTTTTGCTTGTATTATATATATATATATTGTATTTTGCGTGTTAAAGTTAAATAACTTCTTTGGTGAGCATATTCTTGTTATCCTTTCATCTTATTTTTGGCAACTCGGGTTATTTATATACTGAGTGCTAGTGGGAGAAATAATGACATTTTGTTCTATGCGTCTCGACTTTTGTTTGGTGAGAAATCACATGGAGTTACTGAACAAGTACTTTGAATTGCGTATACGTCATCTCTCTTTTCATAATATTTTTTTTTTTAGTTTGAAAGAACACACGCGACTGAATGCTAATATGTCTCGACAGTTAAATAACATAATTTATTATATTTTTTCCATTATTTGTAGCGAGTTGTTTGGGATAATTGATTACAACCGTTAAAAAACCCATCAATAATCAGAGAAATAATTAAGTATATATAATGATATAACGATAGGTTAGTTTATGACGACATACATTAATTTTGTAGTTTCTGTGTCGCCGCATATATGCACTTACATCACAAAAAAAAAAAATTTCATAGCACCCAAGAAAAAAATTGATCGCAACTAAAATGGGTGGACCGTCTTCTTGAAATTTTTTATCAAATACTCAATCATTAGTTCCTTTTTTTTTCAAAATTAATATCCACTCAGGTGTCACTCGATTAACCCAACAAGATTTGGTTTCTTGATTTTTCACCTCACACAAATTGTACATTATAAAAGTAGGGTTTCTCTCTCTCTCTCTTTTTTTTATAACAAAAAAAAAATCTAAAAGATTTGTCCCATGAACTCAAGAAATGATTTTGATCGCCATACATAATAGACCCCATGATCTCTTTAATTAGAACAACGAAAGTTGTTTTCTTATGAGATGAGAAAGATGGTCTGAAGAACTTTTGTATCAAACAAATGTTTCGAGAAACCAATTCGAATATATGATTCGTAACCACAACATAATCTGTCTGAAATCAATAACTGGATACAACATTTTGGCACGACATCGACAGGAAATGCATTCCTTGGTCTGGGGACATAACAAGAAAGGAGTAATTCATGAAAATCCAACATGATAAGTTTTGATGTTATGGTGAGTTTGTGGGGTTTATACACAAAATTAGCAAACTCCATGTGGTCCACTTTGTTTCGTTTTTAATCATTCCTTCACTTGCATTTCCGAATTCATACATATATATATATATATATTATGAAAGGAGACAGAGGGAACAAGGACAAAGAGAGGTGGAAGCCCTGGTGGTAGTGGCTTCATCCACTAACATTATTACGTCATCATTCTTCTCCTCATTTTTTTATGGTACTTCCAAAACAAGAACAACAATACATGAATTTGATACAGAAGACAGCTTTTTTGTAGTTATCCGTACATTTATATAAATAAGTTTATATCTGCGCCTATGCTTATATGGATATATATGTATAAACATGAGTCTCTATATACTGACCGTGAATACGCATATACATAGGACATTGAAGATGGGGCGGCTTGGACCAACTGCAGACCGTAGCCCAATTTAATGTTCAAATTCAATTTCTAAGCCAACAATACTTGGGCTTATTAAGTCTCATTAATGGGCTATGTTGCTGAATCAGATAAGAATGGGCCTGAACGGTCTCTATTGGGCTCAGCCCAATTACAATCGAGCCCGATCCACTTAAGACAATTTTACACCAACCAAGAAGGTTTTTTTTTTTTTTTTTTTTTTTTTTTTAGGTTTTTTTTTTTTTTTTTTTTTTTTTTTTTTTTTTTGCGACGAAACAAAGAAATTGTGATTTAATTTTTTGGTATCTTGGTCAAGGCGAGTTCGAGTCTTGAGTGTAGATGTAATCGGTGTGAGCAGCGACGGTTCCCTTGAGAAGACATTCCTCATGGCTGTCCGAGTTCTTACACACCTCTTTTCTCTCCCTCGTCTGCTCCTCCATTATCATCCCACCAAAAATTAAATACATTACTACTTTTTTTTTTTTTATATAAAAAATATTAACACCTGCCACAACCCATTTCATGTTCTTGATTTTTACAATACTCCAAAACTGCTTACAATCTCCTAATCATTCATCTTATAATCCATCTCGACCGTGCTGCGCTATTCAAACTCCAAAGAAAAATTACAAATACAAATACAAATCCCCCTGCTAAAAACATAAATAGCAAACATATGATATATATACATATATATATATATATTATATACATATATATACGAGGTATGAACTTACATGATGATGTGGGGATTCTTTAGGCGGAGAAGATGGTGTTGGTGTATCAGTACCGCTAACTGCTGAACCCATACT